TAGCGCACTTTTTGAGGTCAATTCTATCAATTTCAAAATCCGGTAACAAGTGCTACAAGTTGGCAAAAAATGAAAAAAATCTGAGAGGTCGAGGTTTAAACTTGTGCGATTTGGCGTGAAATGGCCCTTCTACTGTTTTGTAGGACATGACTGGATTTTGAAATCAGAAGAAATTACCTCAACAAACGCGCTGACAGCAAAGACACTTCTGAAATGCGTAGGAAAATGCAGTTTTTATTAAGCATGGTCATGTTTAGAAACTTGTTTTCTCCGCTTGGAACGAATTTTTCTTATTTTCTGTATTGAAAGGTTGGCTTCCGTGGACTTAGAAGGGTGGGAAGATGTATGCATAGAAAGCTACAATGAAACTGGGAATTAAAGGCATTTTTCAAAAAGACCATGCTTAAATTTTTTAAAAAAGATATACTTTTTAAAAACATTTGTTTTGTAATATATCAAAATTACAAAGTGATATTTCAGGCGTGTCATGGGTAACGATTTGATCAGTGAGACCAAACTGCACAAAACCTTCATCTTACGTACTTTTTGTAGCTTCTACTAGTGACGACGTTTCTATTTCAGACTGTATATTGTTATATTAAAACATCCTTTACTATAGGTAGTTAAATAAGAAGTATTTGACTGAAAATTTTTGCTGCTAGGCAGTTTTGATAAAATTGTTTTGAAAAATTATTGATATGTATACTTCTTCAATATGTATCATTCTGCTTTGTCACTAAATTTCTTTAATCTTGATATATGAACTTCGGTGTTGGGTATTGATATTGAATATTATTTTGTATCATTCATGCAGTGTTTAGTGTGATGCAACAGAATTTTTGTGTGCATCCGATAGGTAAGTTAACATGAAAATGTTATATTAGAAGTGCCTTCTTTGTATTCTTTTGAAATCACGAAAAAACCAGTATTTCTCTAATATGGTTCATTGTCTAGTTGTAGACATCTTGGGCAGTTAAGATTTGTTCTGAAAGTGTCTCTTCCATGACGACCTCCGATACTAACGTTTTTTATTGCTCCCCATAATACAACAAAGGCCTTTTCAGACTTTAAAGAGTGACATTCTGCTGCGATTTTGAAATCTAGGTTGGAAGATGAGATTTTGAAAGTCTGTGATTTTAGTACCGCCTACAACTTTACTCAAGAAGTAGATAACGTTTTTCAAGTTGCATTTTCCACTCAGAACGTTTGAAAAATGGTGTTGGAATATATCTTTAGCTATCGCGTTAAAAGAGAGGGGTCATATTTCAGCAAGCTTCTAGAAGCAGCTAGAGGTGAGAGAAAGTTCTTGATAAAATACACTGCACCCAGTGCGGCTTGCAGCTTTGTACTATTGAATGGTCGGCCTCTTGAAGAGTCATTTTTAGATTTCCAACAGTTGTAAATTGATGTACTCTTGGAGAGATAACAGCAAGACAACAACCACTATCAGTAACCAAAACTGGGTTCCAAAAACTGGCGTAAAAAGAGTTCATTAATGAAGAGAAGTGAAACATATTAAAGAAGTGACAATAATAATGATTTCCTTCCAGAATTTTATCAAGACCAATTGGCACTCGATAATTTTTAGTCGAATACCTGCTGCGGAATTACTTAAACTACAGCATTTTTTAATATAATGCTTACGCTGAAACTGAGACGTTTCAAACTGCGTTGCATACATTGAAGATTTTCTGCAGTCTAGTCTCACTAATCACATCCGTAACTCATGATACCATAAAAAACGCTTATCGTTTCGATGTTTCATTAAAAAAAATTACGTTGCTATAAAATATATCCTATCTGAAAAACTTAAAAAAACATGTAACTTTATTAAAAAAGCGACTGGTGGCCATATCATGTTGGTTGGCTGGAGGGGATGATGCCAATTAGAAGCCCGCTTTTTTTGTACAGTATGTGAATGCCATATACAATATGTATAACTCACTGATAACAGTGAAAGATGCTTCCTTACTTTTCTGGTTCACAGCCTGCGCAACCCGTCTGGAGTTGGTTGCATACAGTCATACAGGGAACTCAGAAAATGAAGGCGTTCTGCAAGTTTCCTTTTGGTTTCAAAACATGAAATTGGTTGGTTTACCCAACTGATTGGGCGTCAGAGGCTCCCTTTCATCGGAAGCCGCCCGGTGAATGCGTTTTGTTGAAGAGGGCGAGAAAAAGAAGGAGACAGCAAATGTCCCTTTTTCGGACACAGTTAAAGAAGAGGGAAAGGCAAGTAAAGCAAAGGGAGCTCAAGAAGCTTTCTTCCTTTTTCTCTCCTTTACCTAATCGCACAAAAACTTCAAATATGCCTTAAATTGCTTAAACCTCGAACTGTCATTTGGCGCGGGTGATTTTGAGCTAGCATGTTGCATAGTGCTTGTTGGTTCTATTCCCAGCGAATATCCAGGTTTTCCGCTGGTAAAGCTTCAGAATTTCCATTCTTGTTTGCAAATCCCTGAGGCTAATAGTACCTTTTGCTATTTTTGGACGTCATTCATTGCTTTCTATCAATTAAGTGTTAGTCGGTGTGCGTTTTCTAAAAACTCCAGATGGATTGCTTTCGATAATCGGGATCTTTTTCAGAAGTTTATAGAGGGTTTGCAGAAAAAAGGTGGGGTTTCAAATGGGGACGTTTTTTTTGAAAGGAGAATTTTAAAGCTAAAAGAGGTTTTTTATTTGTCTTACTGCTAGTCTCAGATTCGTATGCCAGTGTACGACCAAACTGTGCTGGACACGCGCGTGGGAACTGGCAGTACAATAAGCTTCGCCACTATCCCTTCTTGTTTTGAAGCCGCGCATCCCGTTAAGGCGGGTGGACTGGATAAAATCATCAAGGTTTATGAAATGGTTTTGACTCAGAGAAAAAATAACAGGAGAAAGCCTGCTCCACATCAGTGGTGTTTTGGGGGTTTTGCGAGAGAGGGCAATGAGTGTTTCATTGCTGCAGTTGAAGTAGAGATGCTGCTACGCTTGTCTTGGTCGGAAGTGCTTCTTCTCGGGTACTATTATTATGTCGAATAAGTAGGCAGCTTATAACGGCATTCAAGACCTGTCTGAAAGGTATTAGCACCTGACAGCAAATCATAGGTTGCTCTCCGTTGATTCTCACAGTGCTGTCTGCGTAAACACCACTGAGTCGCTTTGGTAAAAATTTAAAGAAGGGCATGAGAAACACTACGGAATCTTGCGGACCTTGTTAAACAGCTAACTTGCATAGTTTGTGTGGTAAAAACTGTTTTAGAGGACCCGCTCTACCATCTACGGTCCCAAATTTCTGAATTCTACCCTGCTTCAGCTCTTCCTAAGGATACATAAGTTTTGAGAAAGTTCTTGAATTGCCAATGCACTTTTCAGTGCGTCCAATTTTTGAAGAGTCTTTTTGATGAGGGACGCTATTGCAAAACTTGAGCTGTTTTTGTGCCTGCAAAACACACATCAGCGGTTCTTGGTAAGCCGAAAATTGGGTAAATAAACCAATTTGGTTCAGCGGTATCCGAATGCTCCGATCTCCTTAGCGGGTAAACTTCTATAGTTTCATAACATCAGTTAAATTATTTACGCATCACACTCTTTACTGGTTTGACGGTGTACAGCAGTCTACATCCATTCTTCCTATTCTTCGTAAAATGCAGTTTTCAACTTCTGAGCCACTGTAGCTTCCGACGCAGACCTGTCGACACTTGAACAGTAATATTTATAAAAGGAGTCGTTTAGCTGGTCAGGTTTAGTCATGCTGCATGTCGGCAGACAGAGGAAGAGGATGTTGATCGTTTGCTGCTAATTTGTGTAGGGTGCTACTCGCTAGCACCTTGCCTGGTAGGGCAAAAAAAAAAATAAAAAAATAAAAAAAAAAGTAGGGCTACTAGTCTAAATGAGCTTCAACGTTTTTAATTTTTTTTCTTATTGCAACTTTTTATGTAACCTGTAAGCGTAGGCACTTTACCACTTTTCTGAATCTACGAGAAATAACTGATTTCAAATGAAGTAAAAATTAGGAAAACTCAAAGAAAGAGCAAAGTCAAAAGTTCTTAAGTTTTTTCGACCGAAACCGCACCTTCCCGCTTTAGAACTGACAAACTTCGCCGTCAACTTGTTTGTTGAAGTAATCTCTTTTGATTTCAAAATTCAGCATCACGACCTACAAAACAGTGAAGAATGAAAAAAATTGAAGGGTCGATTGAAAAAAATATACCCGTTGGTGTGGAATGACAGATATATGTGGGCTATTTGATGCTAGTGTACACAATTTTTCCACTAAGCATTCTAGAACTCTATTGCAATTTGCTGCCCAGTAGAGTCTAGCCTAGAAAAAAATCTGGAAGGATACTAGGAAAATGGATTCCGTGCGAAGTTGTACGCTCAAAGCTGCAACGGTTGCTGCTCGGCATGACTATCTTCTGGGCTTTTTGGCTCAGCTCACTCGTGATGGAATTTAACAGTTCTCGGTTTATCAGGTTTTTCATTTCTTCTACTTTTTAGACATGTTGCAAAATATTACAATTTTTAATTTTACTTAGTGGGTACAACAAGAGTGAAAATGCAGAAGGATTTGGAGAAAAATGCTGTGAATTTTTTTAAAGAAAGTTTTGCACGACTTTTTAGCCTTAAAATAAATCATAATTTGGTCATGTCATTATGTTGGATTCGAGAGTGGCTAGCTTGAGAGGGATTTGAAATTGGAAGTAATCCACGTTTTCACATTTTTCGGAAATTTTGGTTTTTATTATGCCATAGATGCTTGAATTGCCAATCCAGCTCTCTCTACCTCTCTGTTTGGTATTATTCGTCCCGACCAGTTTTAGCTTTCTATAGTCTTTGGTTGTTGGTCGATGCAACAAAAAAATTTTTAGAATCGTCCTGTAGTTTCCCGTAGTTTTTGACTCTTCGTAACTTCTTCAGTAAAATAAAAAAGCACAAGTGACTTTGAAAGTGATGATAGATTTGCTGGTTATCATATTTGCTGTCAATGTTAGTGGACCTTCTATCACCTAACTGATTGCTTAATGTCAATGGAGTGGCTGATGTTGATGTGGCTGATTCATCCTGGCCATTTTTTTTTACTTTTTTCCAGACTGCAAATTTCGATCAAGTACAGATGATCTGTCGATCGCCCGCCAGTTATGAGTTCACTGCTCTAACGCAATTGTCTCTGCTTCTTTTAAGTTCAGTTTTCTTTACCACTTTCCAAACTCCTCTCGCTAGTTATTATTCGGCGTCATGTACAATCTTTTTTACTATTGGTTTTCAGAAAATCACGTAGTGAAGATGCTTCGTGTTCCATACCTTCTTTTTTTTTGGAATTGTACAAATACTATTGTGTTTAGAAATTCTAAAAGCAGACCAGGTAACGCTGCCGCAGCTAGAACTTGAGGACCTTCTCCTGATTTCTCAAGTTGTTAGTTCCGTATCCTTCCTCATCACCTTCTGTCTCCAAGGTTGCGAGGCTTAATTCTGCTTGCATTGACGAGAAACCGGTTTGTCGTATTATACCTAGATTGTTCTTGTTGAGGTGCCTTAATGGACAAGTGTTTAAAATAGCTTAGTTTTTAATTACAGTCATTTAAACGTTTCGTCCTTCAACTATTTCTTCTAAATTGCCTATTTTTCGGATCAGTTTTCTGTATACTTTTTCTTGCTTAAAGGCTAAAGCAATGACTCACTTTCTCTTTGTCTCGTTTTGGCTTAGGAATTCCTGTACAGCTTTTTTGCGAGCTAACTGAAGCACAACTGCTCTTGCTCGGAAGTGTCTGTCGGGACTCATTTTTGCTAGGCAATCGCTTATTAAACAGAATCGTTCCAGGGTATGTGGAAACGACTCTGCTAAAAAACTTTGAACTGGAGTGCTTCAATCGCTGAACAGGTAAAGCAGCAGACCAATTTCCTATCATAAATTGCCATCCGTCTGCAACAGGTCATGCAGCTTGAGCTGAAAGCTATTCAAACCTTTCTTTAGAAATCCGGTAGTCCTGGCATGTAGCAGCCAATGCCTGTCGAGTTCTGCAATGTCCAATTTGTAAATGGGTTTCCAATATTATCAGCTTAGTAGCTAAACGGTTTCTAGGTGGGAACGTTGACAGAATAGTGCTAGGGTGTAAAGGCGAATGCTCAGTTCCGTCGTGTAAGTTGTGCATTTCGTTTGAATCACTTTCTGGTGAAAAATTTTTGGCATTTGTTCAGTTTGGTGGCTTCATCACACTGATTGGCTGCGAGCAGTAGCCAATCATCAGATTGTTTTTTTGATACAGTATGTGGATATCATATACAGTATTTTTGACTTGCTGATAACGATTAGAGGTACGCGCTGACTTCTCTGCTGTGAGGCCAAAATAACTCGTCGAGAGTTGGTCGAAAACAACTATAAAAAAAGCAGAAAAAAACCAAACGGTTTACGAACGTTCTTCGTTGGAAAGAAATCCAAATCGGTTCAATTACCTAACCTTGAGGATGGTCTCTTTCAAGAGGACTCCTTTAAACATGAAGAAACTCAACAATGCTTCTTGCTGAAAAATGGAGAAAGCTGTCAGAAGACGGCAAAAGCTTTTTTTATAGTTTTTGCTCAAGTGGTCGGCAAAAGAGGGGAAGGTGAAGGGGGAAGCAAGTGAAGTAAGCGGAGTTCACAAAGCTTGTTTTCCCCTCACTTCTTGCTTTTAAAATCGTTCATATACAACATAAATGGAGGGTCTGGCAGTGTATCAAGTGGTGTAATGGGAAGTGGGCTGCGCTGAAACGCTAGCGCTTCGGTTTGGAGTTCGCTGGGTGCGTCTCCGTCTTTTCCCTCACTTGCGGAACTTTGAAAACGTCGATTTAATTGTTCAGCTTTGAGAATATCGGATCAATTACCCAAAATTTAGCGAAGTGTTATTCAGGTCTTTTAAATTCTGTTGTTTGTTATTGTTGCTGCTTTTTTTCGATTTTTTTTTCTTTTGATGAATACGGACGGAAAACCATTCCTGATTTCGTGAAAATGTTCAGCAGAAAATTATTTTAGTTGTAATTTGGTAATTTAAGTTTCATGAAGTAAAAAAACCGCAACAAACATATAAAAAACAAAACAGTATGATAACTTTTGTTGGTTCTTCTTTTTTTTTTTCAAACGTCTTCTGGATGGTTATACCAATTCAGAGTAAAACTTTCTTTTTCTGCTGTTGTGCAGTATTTTAAAGCGAATGGGAAAAAAACTTAAAAAAAAACTTAATCAAATTTTTTTTCATTTCACTCCCTAATCTCGACGAAAAGTGTTAGTTGTTGAGCAAAGTACAAACGAATAAACTAAGGAAACGCTAAAGGAGTACACAGAGTAACACAGAAACCATTTTTTAACAATTAAGGGTTTTATTC